AGAACTCTGAGAATGAGGGCAAAATGTGCTTTATGTGCTAAAGTAAAAGAGTATTTTCACGTTTTATTTCTAAATTACATCACAGTAAAAGAATAAGGGAGCAGATCTGTTTTGGGTTGGGTTTTGCACAGCAAGAGCAGTCAGACACATCAAGCACTGCGCAGGCTGCCCTTTGTACCATAGAAAATGCATTTATTAAAGCAGGCTCCAGAACAAAAAACAACAACAGCTGCAAGACTGCAGAACATGTTATGTACCATCAAACTGATAAAGAAATCCCTGTACACGCTACAGTGCTTTTAGAATCACAGCTTTTGCAAGGTAGTTAATAGTATGTATGTATTATTTATTCATATAATAAACATTCAATGCATCTCCTTCTGGGAACAGATTAATATAAAATAGATGGAGGCTATATCTGAAAGTTTGAGTTAGAAATGTTACCACAGCAGAACAAACAGCATATAAAAATACAATCATTGTTCATAATTTAGCTCGGCTGACTGGCGTTCTGGATTTGATTATGAAGACGATGATGAGCAATTCAAAAGAAATGAAAAGGATTCTGTTGGACCAAATATTTCTAATGCTCTAACATGATACACATTTCCTTTAATCTGATTAGTCTAACCAGATCAGCCATTTATGTTACATATCAACAACATTCACTTTTTTAGGTCACTCAAGTATTTTGAGGTTTAATTGCAGGAAAGTAGTCATTTTTAGGTGATATATATAAAATCAGCCTATAGAACTGCTGTATCAGATATTTTAGAATATGAACAGAAGGGGATTTTTATTTCGGTGCGCTGATCCTCGAATCAGATGATAGCAAGTTCGAGTCCCACTGCAGTCAGCATGTCGTTGTGTCCCTGAGACCCCAAAGTGCTCCTGTGGGGATTGTCCACAGTACTGAATGTAAGTCACTTTGGATAAAAGCGTCTAACAAGTGACATGTAATGTAATTTAATTTGTTGCCCTCCCTGAAATCTGAATCATTATTTCAGAAAGAAACCCTTCAAGCGTACTCCTTCATACTGTGGATTCAATAAGACTGCGTCTCTCAGCATGTGCCTTGCCAAGAATTAAGTGATTGTGTATCTTTCAAAACATCTGCTGTTTATACTGGCAACAGCTCCTCCGTTCTCAGAGTGGGATGTAAAGCAGGCTGCTGGAGAGGGAGAGAGAAAGGGTGATGGAGAACTGGAAGATGGAGATTGGTCTCGGGAAGTCGGATCATCATCATATCAGTCATTAGTGCTAATATGTGCAAAAAAAGCTCAAAGAAAATACATCTCGTAAAGTGTCAAGGAGTGTCAAGAAAGGCAAGTGATATACATTTAAAGAATTGTATCCCCAAATCAGTTAAATGACTTATCAACTGATTGAAAATTGGACACAGATTTGGATGGATTCCTGGACTTGCAAAATACTTCCATTAGAAAGCATGCTATATATTCATAATTTAGCACAGCATCACTTAATGTAGAGCACACTGGAGCTTTAAACGTGTCACTTCACAGTGAATATTTGATTGATTCCCATCAAATGTATTAGCTTTGAATTATGACATTGACCTTACTGTGCATGAAGAGTTTGTCATTTACTCTATTGATTCACTTTTACATAATGTGCCATTAAAAACACAAACGCTGTATTCCAGCACCTCCATCCTGAACCATGTACGCTAAGAGGGATTCACTTTGTTACTAATTCATGAAGCTAACTAATAAACATTAACACTTTCCATGACATGTTTCACCCGGTAATGGTGTGGTGCCCTCTGAAACTTTGTGTGCAGGTTGTAAACAGGGTCTTCCCCAAGGACAGAGAGGGCGTTTATGGAGGCAGGGCAGAGACACATCATGGTCCCAGAACATACATGTATTCGCTCCAATGCTCTCTAGGTTCAGCGTGTCCCTTCATGCCTGTCTGCATCTGTATGTTACTAACACTGCAGTTTGCTGTGCCTGCACTGCAAACAAACTGAAACGTTGACTTTAATTAAATGTATAATGTCAACAAATTCCACATACCTGTATCAGGTTAGTTGAAAGCAATACTATTAAGTTGAACTTAATACTCTCTTATTTAAACTTAATATGATTGCTTTCAACTAACCTAATAGAGTAATGTGAAATTTGTTGACATAATACATTGAATTAAAGTCAACGTTTCCGTTTTTTCAGTGTGCTTCACCAAAGCTTGCAACAAGCTTTGGTTTAGTTCAGATACCCTCTAAGCCTGCAGGTGGATAACTTAACATTTGGCCTACTTACAAACGCTTAATGTCCACATTAATCCTCAGAAACAAGGCCACAGCTTTATATTCCAATGGGAAAACTGGAAATATGGAACAACGCCCATAGAGGCCCAGTAAACTTGTTTTAATCTATAGGCTACATGTGCATGGGAAGCATGGTTCTCTGCCAGAAGCAATCCTTTCCAATTGATCTTCTTTCCGTGAGACTTTGCAGGAACCACCTGGGAATGCCTGTGAACGTCTCCTCTGGGTGCTACTGAGATCTATTCTTAGAGTTCGGATGAACGAGGGAACATGCAAGGGGAGCAGTGCGCTATTAGCGGTAGCAGGTGCTGCGCTTACACTGACAGAGACAGAGAGCTAGCACTAGCTAGCAAACGTTTTAGTTAGGAAGTGCAGACATTTCTTGGGATAAAATGTTTGATTCTTGATTTAATTCAATCACGTTGACTGTCTGTTGTGACAGGAAGTCTCACGATGTACTGTTTCTGGGACTTTTTATGAGAAAAAGCTGCAGTTGTAGCTTTAGTGACACCCAAGCGCCCCAGATTCAGAGCCAGTGATGCCTATATGTTTGTACCCACAGCAGCACAGCTAGTTTATCATGGTAGTTGTCACATATGCTCCTCAGTGGCATTTGCACTAAAGTAGGTCAGCAGTGACTGGAATACTCTGAAACTCCTTTGGGGAGTTACTTTAAAAAGGAGAGACAAAATATAGATCGACCTTACTGTTCCTCGCTGTGGATTATGTTGATTCTATATTACAAGACTTATCATGTGGTCTGTAGTTGATGAAAGAAAACCTATTAAAAAGAGTGAAGGATTTAATCGATAAATGTCATACAACTGTTGAATCTGATAATCTGCTCTCATGTGGCTTGTACATTCAATAATGAACTGTATCTTAATGCAGGAACATGATTGAATACATACAGCCAGTATGTTCTCCTGCTGGACCAGGTGTGTTGAAGTAGCTTATTTGCTTTGCTTGACCTTATTCAGTTACAGCATTTCTTGTATTATGTTCGAGCTGCTTTTAAATGAAGGTTTCCTGTCCTTGCAGAGGCACAGGCATGCTCTCATTATCTCTGCATAGACAAACTGCAAACAGCAGCAATGCTGTCGGCTCTTTTTTAAATATTCAAAGGCTTTATTGTCATTTGCATCATAGCTACAACGTAGTTTGGCAATGAAAAGTCCCAGGCGTCTCCAACAATGTTTCTTACTGTGTTACTAGCTATACGTGGATTGAGGTTTTTGCAGTGTTGTTCTTACACAAAATGTCATTTCACCTCATTTACTGCCGGTTATGAAACTTACCTCCTGTATCCTCAGAGGCCTCTGTGGTTCTGAGACAACCTACAGAACCTTTAGGAGCTGATCTAAGGCACATTCATATTGATCACAACACCAGAGTATATCTCAAAGTACCATTTTAGAAACATGTGTCCATTTCTTTCCTGCTTATTCACCTCTCTAAGATGTTGCAGTTTGACAGAGAAATGTTTCTTGTAGTCTGAGCTTCTCTGGAGGCAGATATAATCATATTGGTTCTGCTGCAGTCTAGAATAGGTTTGTAGTTTAGCTGGGATACAGATGTTACAGACTAAATGACAGCCAATGGACTCTGATGTGTTTATCTTATATTTCAAATTGAAGGTGTACATTATGATCTCTGAGAACACATATAAAGGCACTTTATATTTTACTCACTGTGTGTACTTATTATTACCTATTACATATATGTCATGTTGTTAAGATATTAAGTCACTTTGGTTTTCATTCAAAAAATAATCCAGCAAATGTCTGTTCTGTTTCTTATTTTCCTACCTGCTGCTGGTTTGGAGTTCAGCCTAATATAACTGACCCATACTCTTTCATGAGGTTTAAATGAACCAATGAGATGTATCTTGCTCCCACAGCAGTGAAGCCTCCAAGAAGAGAAGAAGGTCTCATCTGTTATACACTGTTTAAATCTCCCTCTGATGTAATACGGTTACAGTTTGAGTACAAAGTGATAAGATAAACATTTGCTGATTATATTATTTTAGCCACAACCTGGTAAATATGCATGGGTTGTCCAATACACTGTTTTTAAATTGTAGCTGCCTTCTGACCCATGTATTTGCATGCTCGCAGTAGCGTATTACGAGTGTGTGACATTGTAAACACACACACCGTGACCTTCTTGCTGGAAGCTGGAGGAACTTCTTTAGTGGCATATGGAGAGAGGTGTGTGGAAGGAGAGTGACAAGAGGTTGGTCGGACCATGCTGTGAATTGTGACTCCATTTCCCAGGAAGCTTTGCAACAACAGCTCAAAAAGCCAAAAGCCGCCTAGCCGATGGCATGGAGAGGGCTGAGACGATTTGGCCAGAGGTCACAGGAGCTGATTGGCTGGATTTTGTGGAATCATGGTGGATGTGGGGGTGCAGGTGTTTGTTGATCGGATGACTCTGGTGCACAGGAGGTTTGTGGGTAGATGGATATGTCAGAGGTGAACCCCACCCCTTCGAGATGCCTGTCGTCAGGAGGAAGGGGATGTGTGATCGAACCCTGCTCGTCTCTCATTCTTTCAATCAAACCCTCCTAGAGAAGATATCTGAATGGAAGCACATTACCAGGTGCCATGTTGGATTCACTGTTGGAACTTACCTCATAACAGTGCATTATTACATGGTACTGACTTTACAAACAAATGTGTGAGTGCTTACTCCTTAAGACTAAAGATGGTAATTTGCTTCAATGGTTTATTTTACCCATAACCATGTACAAATAAACAAAACCTTTACAGCTTTGTATGGTCACACATTTAGCATTCATTGGTCCATAAGCACTCCTCACGGCGACATAAAAACACTGTTATAAGAAACCGACATTGATTTCTAGCGTCGGTGTCCCAACGTTGCACTGACGTCACAAATGTACCATCCATTCTAACAGTTTCATTGCAAATCAAAATAGTCACATGCAATGATTGAAAGAAATTACATTACCTCATGTCACATAGAAAGTAAGCGAAAAGTTCCATCATTTAGAAATAAGTACTCTTCAGAGATTTGTCTCTCTTTTTTTTCCCTTTTTAAAAAAAAAAAAGTCCTAGACATTCTTTCAACAGCGTTGTTGGTCTCATTTGAGTTGTAAACATTAGTTACAGTGCCTAGCTTCATTCACCTGGCTGGCTGTGTAGCTTCTCTCACAATAATTGGTCAATCAATACTATCAATCAACTGTTCGAGAGGAATTGGTCGGTAGTCAATCAACGGTCTTTGGGCTCAGTTAGGGGCAACAGGACACCAGTGAGAGACTTGAGAACAGACTGAACATTAGATCAATATAAGACAACCTGAGAATCACAACTACGTCTTTTCATCTGTCCTCCCTTCTTCCTATCCTCTCTTCCTCTATCTTTTTTCTTCTATGGAACTATCATAGTCAGGTGGGCGTGGCCTCGGTGGTTGAGGAAGATGGTAGGTTGGTAGGTTGTTTTGTTGTGGCGGAAGCCTGTTGCTGTGCAACTGGCTCCTTTTGTGGTTGGCATGGAGACAGGTTAAGGTGGATTCTGACCTGGTAAGGTAGTATGCAGCACATACAGTAGTATGAACAGTAGAATGTAGGATGCCGCTCTGGAGACAAATACTGGAATTCAAAATGGTTTCAAATGATGCTAAAGAAAGTAGACCGAACAAGTGCACCTTGTTCAGATTAAAGGGCCAGTTCATCTTATTTGCAAAAACATTTTCTTACTCATCTCTAGAGGTATTTCATATTGGTTTTGAGATATCTGCTTTAACATTTACGTTATCATCTCCCAAAAAAACTCGATTTGGTTTTCGGAGCACAAAGTCTTTAAGTTTTTAAGGAACTACAGTAAAAATAGTCCCAATAAAAACTGTTTTAAGTGAGGTTTACTGTTTACCCAGAAAATCAGGGACACTAATGATTCTTTAAATGAACATTTGTAATGCTTTAAGAACCACAAACTACATTCCATTGACCACCATTGTTTTGGCGATAGAAATGTTAAAGACAGATATCTGGCCTGAAATGGCCATTTTAAAATGAAACAACTTGAGGTACTTGATTTTCTATTTTTTGACAACTGAAGCTGCATTTTCTTTTATTTGCAAACACTTCAACTGAAAACACTACCAACAAAACCAAGCGCACCTCAAGTACGAGCACTTCCATTCTATATTTCTCCCCAGAGCTGTCAGTGTATGTAACAGTAGATTGAGACAGTATGTTATAGATGGAGAACATCACATGGGGCTGACGTGATGTGCAGCAAAGGATGGCGCAGGGGAAGGCGGTAGTGGTGGACAGTGATTGGTTGATTTGGTTGGTCAGGTGACTGAGGGGGTTATGAACAGTCGAGTTGAGTCTGATCACATGATGAGGGTTTGCAGCTAACGTCAGGAGGTTCCATCAGGAGGTATGGAAGCCTGACAGGTTTTAGCTTTTGGTGAACACTGGACAGAACACCCACCCTGAACCCTGCCCTCATATATACAGCAGGCACTCTCTCTCTCTCACACACACACACACACACACACACACACACACACACACACACACACACACACACACACACACACACACACAGACACTGACACACACACTCACACTGACACACACACTAACAAACAGACATGCACTCATTCACCATATTTGCATAGTCACAAACAAACAAATAAATACACAGGTTTGTTAATTCACACTCACATTTACATTCATGACAAACATTTCCACATGCACACAAACATGCACACAAACACACGCGCACACACACACACACACACACACACACACACACACACACACACACACACACACACACACACACACACACACACACACACACACACACACTCACTCTCTCCCTCCCCCAGACTTGCGATGTGTTACTGTGATGATGCAGAGTGTGGTGGAAGGTGAAGAATAAGACAACGGAAGACAGGTGATGCTAAAATGAACATTTATAATGACTGCTGTTGCTGTCGCAAAATAAGAATCCTTAAAAAAAGACCTCATATATATTAGCACTAGATTGCCCACTTCACTGGTAATCCACAAGTCAAGAAACACAACTCACTAGGATTTTTTTTCTCTTTACAAACACAATGCTACAATTACATTAAATATTCAATACTCTTTAAGTCAGTTAATGAATGTTGTTAAAAGCAAACACTAAAATACTAAAAAATAAAAACAAAACAATACTAATATTAATTCACCTTTTTCCAGTCGTTCCCTTTTTCTCGTTGTTATTTATTAATAGTATAATAATAATAATAGTCTGAGAAATAAATAGCTCATGTGGTGTTGTCAGGGCGATGGGGCAGGCAGCATAAATCAAGAGTGGAGCTCAGAGCGATGCGGTGAAATAATGGAGTCTAATCTCGCGCCGTCACTTTAATACTTTCAACATGTCTCTGATGTGCAGCGGGATATGAAGATATGCACAGGTTTGGTTCTGCGGGGGGGGGTTCGAATGTCCCCTGCAGAGGTTAATCATCTCTAAACTAGCATTCTATGGTATGTAAACTAGGACTGTATTGCACAGAAGTTAGCAGCTCAGCTTCCTCATTCTGTAGCCCAGGAGGAGCATTTTGTTGTTGTTGTTCTGTCTCCCTCCCTGGGTTTTTTTTACAACTTGGAGGAGCCGAGTTTTCCACGATGATATGCCTCTAACACGACCAAGCATTTTTTAATAACTCGATGATAAAACTAGCGCCACTACAACTCACTGTTAGGAAAACACCAACAAATGTACGAAAACAAGCCTACGTTGAGAATGGCTCGGACTACTTCTCAAGGTCAGTATTCTTCTTCTATGAGCACAGGTATCTAAAGCTAACCAACATGGAAGCTAAACAGCGAATACAGTAGGTAAATCAACACTAATAACAACAGCACAGGTTAACACAGTAGAAGTAGCATAGCCGATTATACAGGCAGACCTAACTAGCCGATATGGAGTATGGAGAGTGATCGTCTACCGCGTCCACTAGTACCTCTTTATGCTGCCGGCCCCTTTCTGCTCAACACTTCTCTCTTTACAGCTCGGCAAAACATCTGACAAAAATATTTACAATGAGAGAGAAACAAAATGAAATTGTGGAGAAACAGTTGTTTAGTGTTTTTTTCCCTTTCTTTTGTTTGTCTGCACTTCTTTTTAGAATGTTTCTTCTTCCTTTCATATGTTTTTTTTTTGTTCTTTTTCGACTTATATCTCAGAGAATTGTCCCCAATGATGAGCAACAAACAAACAAACAAAAACATCCAATCATATCAGCTAGCATTGCACAGTCTCAGAGAGGTTTTTGGGGATGGAATGGAGAGTTATCGTCCAAACAGTTGGATGAACACAGAAGGGAGGAGGAGGAAGAAGGTCAATAAAGTTCATGAGGGGGGTGAAAGTTCAAAAAAGTTCAAGAAGACAGAGGATGGCTGCGCAGCTGACGGTGCGTAAACACTCCTGCGTGTGTCGGCGTGCGTGGTTTGGATGTTAAACGACAAAAAAAATCATCATTAGAAAAAATGGAGTTTTTGAATCTTTCCCATCGAGAAAAATCAAATGGAGCGAGATAGAAAGAGAGAAAAGGTGAGGGGTAGAGAGAAGGGGGGAGGGGGTGAGGAGAGTGAGAGGTGCCCCCAACACTATGGCACATAATCAATGGAGTCCCACAGGCTGAAGAGATGACAGAATTAGGAAAGCAGCTGGCATGAGCGGTGGGGCTTTTTTTTAAAGGTAGGTTGAGAGGCAGGACAGCAGGTAGGTAGCCAACCTGCAGGGGTTAATCCTTGTCGGGGTTTAGCTCTGTGGGGGGTGGTGAGGAGGAGGAGGAGGAGGAGGAGGAGGAGGAGTGGTTGTGGTGGTGGGGGGGCAAGGTGCTGTTCAGTTGAGGCGTCATGAGCGACATCATGTTATGAGGGCGGAGCATGCTGGCTTCATGGGTGCTTCCAGGATGGATGTCCGACACACAAGAACAACTCAAAGAAACGCTTGGAATGGTTGTTGTTGTCTTTTTTTTTGTTTTTTTTCCCCCTCTGTTTTCTATTTTGGCACTCGAGAGAAGATACTGGTGGGAGGAGGAGGAACGAGTGTGTGTTTGGGCAGAAAGAAGGAGGGGTGGGCAGTGAAAGTGCAAAAAGAGGGCATGGAAGAGTATGTATGAGTGTGAGTGTGTGTGTGTGTATGTATGAGTGTGTGTGTGTGTGTATGTATGAGTGTGTGTGTGTGTGTGTGTGTATGAGTGTGTGTGTGTATGAGTGTGTGTGTATGAGTGTGTGTGTGTGTGTGTGTGTTGTGTAGGGGTAAACAGGCTACACACAGAAATGGCATTCAGTTGAAAGCTGCTCTCGGTTAGACAGAGCATACAGTACAAATCAAAACCAGGAAAAAAAAATCAACACTGAGAAGAAGGAACAGAAAAACAGTGATATGACAAATGCAGTCTACAGTTGCTGGTGCTTCGATGGGGCCCGAGATTTTGGGTCGAAAGGGGGGTGAAAAAGGAGCGGGGAGGGGTCCCATAATATGTCTTGGAAGAGGTGGGTGGGTGTGGGTGAGAGTGGGTTTGTGGAGGTGGCAGTGGAGGGGAGGGGGCAAAAAGAAACTGAGGACTATGTCAAAGAGCCACACCCACTGAGAAGCCATGAGGTCACCTGGCGAGCAGGTGGGGGTTAAGTTTGCATTCCTCTACACATCACAATAAAAACACAGAGAGCCGGCTACGTCGCAGAACACACACACACACACACACACACCACGAGCCTAAAGCAGACAGAGAGAGGAAGAGAGAGAGGAGCATGCACATCTAAATACACTGCTGCATAAACACCTAGAGTAACATCTCCAGTAGTCTCGCACCCCCACCCTGCTCGGCCTGCCATGCACAGTAACAGCAGGGAGTTTAGTGCAAACATGTCGCTGGGAGCAGGATTCTTTGTGGGAAGTTTTCTGCTGAAAATACTGACTTAAATGAAATGTATTTAGCTACACATTTCACACAGCTGTATTTCATTAGTTGAAAGCAATAATATTAAGTTGAACCTATCATTTTTCATTTCAGCTTAATATTATTGCTTTCAATGAACCAAATACAGTTATATGAAATCTGTTGATGAAATACATTTAATTGAAGCCAACGTTTCAAATACTGGTTGCATAATAAGGAATTAGATTGCGCTATTTGGCTTCTTTTTTTCCCACATTGAATCCATTAAAGAATCGAATTGAACTTAGAGGGGGAGGAAGGGAGAGACAGTCAGTGTTGTTCCTCTCCCTGAGATCAGAGCCTTGGATTGCATATTAAGAGAGTCAAAACACAATCTGTCCCAAATGCTGCACCCAAGGAGACCGAGAGTGCAGCAGCAAGATTTGTTTGAGTGTTTTTCTGTAGGTGAGGAACACACTCTCTTGATGACTCTCCCAACACTGAATTACACAGGGCAGGGCTGGAGGTGCTCCGAGTCATATTTGAAGTAAAAGTCAATAAGGTGCATATCAATGACAAGACAAGCCTCTGAGCGCGGGGGAGGGGCGGGGGTTAGAAGGACAGACAGTTATACTGAGAGCTCGACAGTGCGTCAAGGGTTAGTCATGTTAGAATACAAAAAGACACACGAAAGCCTCTACTGCACGTCGATGGTCAGAGGAGTGATATGCAAACTTATTCCGAGGTGAGTACATTCATGGACAATCTCAGACTTCAGAGTTAAATCCTGATTAGTTTTGCTGTCTAAAGATAGGCAGCAACTGAGAACTGTTTAGTACAAGCTCGCTCAGAAAGTAGCAAAATAGTCTTAGGTTTGTTCGAGAGTATCCCTTTGAGGATGGCTCGACAACTTAACCACAAAATACTTCTTTGTGTTCACCAGCGGTCGGCAGACTTAAACAGCGAGTGTAAAACAATATGAAAATGCTCTACCCCTATCGGCATGCAGAGATTAGTTTCCAGACACTCACTGCCTGATTCTTTCTTTTTGTCACTTCTTTTTTGATTTTTTTTAAAATCTTTTTTGTCCACGCTTCACTTTGATATCATGCAATATAGACGTGCAAAAAAGATAACATCTATTTCCACAAAATACATTTTCATTGTAACTATAAAAGGCTGTATTTAAGAATGCTATCGAGTCACATTTTTTAAATCGCATAATTACGTTATAACCTATCGCTGTGTTGATTAGTCTAGCCCGAGTCGTAGTGCTGTTGCATTCTGGGAAGTGTAGTTCCCAGATGACTGGTTAACACGTTGCTAACATGGCGGTCCCTCCTCTTGTGGCAGGAACAGTGAGGGCTTCAACAATCTGCATCACTGAGGCGCTTTTACTTCTTAAAACTGTTGCGCGGACGACTCACTTCATACGTCACTTATAAATATGGTTCATTTGGCACTTTTCACATTTTCTAAATATAAAAGTATGTCTCCTCTTATCTTATGAGTTTAAATCAACATATTTACCTCTGTAAAGACCTATTTTGGCACAGTTTTAACTTGTTCAGGTTAGAATTATACAATTATTAACTTAGCTTATAACAGAGCTTGTATTACACTGCCACTTGAAGCTAGCCTCTCCAGCTAAAGGACAGCTTTCGATATGTTGTATTTTTAGTACATCAGATATTATTATATAGCAGCATTTTCCACAAATTAAATGTTTTCTAATCATGTAAACCTATTCAGCATCTTATCCAAAGCCCCTACGGCAGACATGTATTGCTTCCAGTACTCGTCACATTTGATCTCCCCCCTAAGCTAAAGAGATTAGCCGCTGTTTGAATAACAAACCAAAAGCGATCTATCTATGGTTTAATTAATGAGATGAACAATAAATCCGTCCAGTAATAATCAACTTAAATGGCACCTATATCAGGAATAGCAGTGCCGATTTTCCACTGTAAGCGCACTGTGCTGCATCCAATGTCATTTAGCCATGACGCAAATTGGACAACTATAAACCCGCTCTAGTTATGGTAAAGGATGTCCACCCTTTTTCTGTAGAGGCCGATTCATCCGATTAAAGAAAACATCTTCAAATCAGAATTAATGGTCAAAATATTATTTTAAATGAATTGAATATTTGTTCAGTCTTTTAAATGTCTGAACCTTGTGAATATGCCTGTCCAAATTCCTTTTTCAGTCTGACCAATAATCTGAAACCCAAACATATTCAGTTTCAATGATTTGACAAATATAAAAGCAGCCAATCCTCACATTACGAAAGCTGTGAAAGCTGCGGTCATTTTGACTCAATAAACAACAAGTGGAGCATGATTTACCCGCTCAAAGATGGAGCAACATGCACTAAATAAACTGAAGAATAGCTTATTAACTGCATACAGCACAGTACAGCTCTACAGTGGAACAAAAGCACACTATGAGTACTACCACTATCTTCATATGGTCTTATGAGCTTTTTGCCACTAAGAAACCCAACATAAATCCAGTCAAACCCCATCAATGACAGAATATTCCCTCACAATATGTGTATGTTTGTGCAGCAAGTTTTTCCAAATAAACAAAGTATTATAAACTTAAACGCACTGATCCAACAGCTAAGAGTGTTTGTTCACTGTGTCCTGCCAGCCTCAACTAGGACCTCCTCTGCAGGTGTGGTGGTGCGTTAGATCAGGGCATCTCCGGCCCCCCCGGCCCCCCGAGGAGGCAAACAGGGGAGAGACTCATTCTGTGGTGTTTGTCAGGGAAAGCAGCAGACATGCATTGATCGTAACACCAGACATAGTCACCCATGGAGCGATGTAGTAGGAGGAGAGGGGGGGTGTCAGGATGGGAGTGCACTGGAGGACTGAGGACGGGTGGGAGGGAGGGTGAGGACAGAGTGGATGGTGTTAGATGGGAGTAAAGAAGCCTCCTTACCAAGCTGTGGAGATAAACCCTCACTGGCGCTCCAACAGAGTGACACATTCGATCGCACAGTGGAGCATTATGGGTCGGATTGGTTTCAAAAGAATCCTATTTGTTTATTAACTTAGAGGAGCTGTTCAATAGATCAAATGCACCCCCTCCTCATTTTTACATTCCGTCACACTCCTATTGGACTTAGATTGGCCCATTGGATGTACAGTACATTATCAATTTTTATGAAAAAGACAGCGATAGAAAAGTGAATTTATAATTTGTTCCAGTCTCTTTAATCTGCTGCTGGACACCTAACACTCCCCCAACATCCCACCCTCGGATTACAAAACAATTTTCCAGGACAACAGGTGGGTCGACTCTAATTGATCTCAAACTCGTGACCTCAATTGATTGATCCTCTTCATCAACCTAGTCTCTTTCTCCTCCTTCAGTATTCAGATACATTTCTGGTGAAGTTCTTCATATGCATTCTACATATATTTCATATATGTGTGTTTTTTTTCCCCTGCCATACAAAAAAATATCCAATCGCGATGCCGTCTACAGCACACATCCCTGACCTCATAGGCAGAGAGAACCGATCCCTCGCTTCACAGTGCATTAAGACAAAAATTCAGTGTACTCCGATTGTAAAAAAAAAAGAGAAAATAACACAACACAAACCAAAAAAACCAAGAACAGAAACAACAGCATCTTCAGCAGCCTTCTGGGTCTACAGTGGGCAGTTGCCACGGGAAACCTGCAGTTTGCCAGAGACAGAAACAACTCCCTGGACGTGTGTTGGAAATCATGTCTGCCCTTCATCGGCAGTCGGACGGTCGCTTGATAAGAGATCAGTGAGGCTATTTATCTCCTTTACTGATGTGCATGCTGTCTTAAAATAGCAAATCTGGGAGTGAGACGAGCAGAATCTGCAGTGGACCCCGGACGAACAGTCCCCATGTTTCAGTGTTTCCTTTTCTCAATGTCTCAGTAGTACGTTGTTAGTCTTAAGTGCTCTTGCTTGGACTGGGTTTGGGTTTGGAAGACCACAGGCTGAGCAGTAGCAGCTCATCTGAGAACCCAATTATTCATTTTGGTTATAATTTTACATTTTAGGCAAATTTTAACAGGGCGTTTTACTACAGATTTAGAACATTAGGGATATTTTGGGGCATGGGGAGGATGGCCAAGCATGGCGACGAGGCGTTTGAGTTATAGCTGCGTAGATCTGCACTGCAGCCTGTGGTGTGATTACAGATATGTACTTGCTAATCTAGAGGTCTCACTGCAGTCTGCATCATAGATATGGTGAATTCCCTTTTCTAGCACCAAATGTGGCATTAGCGTTTTGTTTCAGTGTGTACGCGTGTGCATGTGTGTGCGCATTCCCTGTTCTGCTCTTAGACTGGATATATAAGGTAATCCTTCACTGTAATGATATTAATGCCTGGGGCGGCTCTCTTACTGGACTTAAATAAGACATATATTACACTTTGTGACATTACTATTCATATTCAATTCATTTAAATTAAAACAAAAAAATAGTCTCATTTACATTCATGTCAACCTGAATTCACAGATAAAAAAACAAAACAACTGAGCTTTTTATGGGTGAACTCATCAATAAATAATGATGATGGTGAGGATTCGTATAATCGTGACAATATCAGATAATAACAGAATCATTACAGCAGACTGCAAATTAAAACGCCATAGATCCTGTGTGTTTGCCGCAGCTTGCACAGTATCACTCTCGTCGGTTTCGCACTACGTGAGGTCATCAACGTGCGCCTCGGCATTCTATATCAAACACTAGAGCTGCGTATGGGGGGGGGGGGGGGGGGGTGCTGCGTGCCGTGACACCCCTGCAGCGCTGCACTGCTCGTAGGATACATCACAGGGTATACAGAGGGTGGTGTGCAAACGAAGAAACGCCCAGCTCATTCTCTCCGCCCCTCACCCCTTCCCGAGTTCACCTCGCCCTTCCTTCATCTCCCAGAAAGAGGGGAGGAGGGGGGAGTTGAGATCATACGACGGGGGAGAGAATAAATGGGGTTACGGGGGGATTTCACGACGTTTCTTTTCTCGCACACCAGGCTTAAGTTTGCAGTCTTGCTCATTATAAAAACCCTTGTAAAAAGGGGGGGAGGGGGTGAGGGGAAGGCAAGGCTGTGGGCAAGTAGTGAGAGAGGCTTCGGGGGGAGGCGGGGCGGAGGGGCAAATCAAAACTAGAAGAAAAACAAAAACCCTACAGGAGGGTGACCGGTGTGGGCTTCAGGGGGAGGGAGGGGTTAGGGTTACTTCCATAAGGGATTTTGGGTTGTACCCTGTAAACGCAAACCCTCCCCCCTGTGTGCCCATGCCCTTCCCTTCCTCCCCCTACTTCCTGCCGCCTCTCAGGCAGTCGGCCTGTCTACATGGCATTCAGCTCTGTCCACACAATACACAAACGAACAAACAGACAGCTTAATTTACTAATCAAAACAATAAAACGAAACAATAAAAAATCCGAAAGGTCAAGACGTTAAGTAATAAAACCTTATTTACACATTTAGTTACACATTTTTTTCTTGGTTTTTCAGCGTGATAACTCACTCCATTCCCTCCTCATCTTCTCAGCACATTTTTGCTTTGCGTCAACATTTCTTTTTTTTATAGAGAATACTGAAAACACGCAGAAGAAAACGGCGCAGACAATTCCTTCTGACATTCTTGCTCTCCTCTCCTTTTTCCATTCTCACTTTACATTTTTGATACTCCTCCCCCAAGCCCCCACTCTTTTCCCCTCTTTTCCTCCTCGTTTCTCATTGGCTGTCAGGTTTAGCCCACCTTCTGTGGGTTGGTGGCACGTACCCCCTGCTCGTAGGTGATTCGCTGGCTGATCAGGTACTGTGCAGCCTGCGTGGCGGCCTGAGACCCCGTGATGGTCACCTTCCTGTTCCGAGTTCCAGGGATGAACTCGCCTTTCTTGGAGATCTGGATCCTGGCGCCGGTCAGCTCCTGGTACTCCACTAGCGTCTTCCCTCCTTTCCCCAAGATGGCTCCCACCAGGTTTTCTGGCACGGCAATCTCCACCACTTCCTTTGCTCCTTCTCCCAGCTTCTCCTGGGCCAGTAGAGATGACCCCAACAGGGGCGACGCGGCGCTCAAGTAGCCGTTGGTGGCTCCTGCGGCAGCCAAGGATCCCAGAGAGAAGCCCCCGAGACTCGCTGCTTGGTGAACGCTGGTGGATGCATCACTGGCATAGGATGCTAACAAATTAGCTGCGGCGGCTGCTGCTGGGTTAGCGTTAGCTGCTACCGCTGCTAACACTCCTGAGGCTGCCGCGGGATTCAGACCCAAGCCCAGGGAGTTGGTGTTGTAGCCGTAGCTGGCCAGGGTGTTGAGGGCGGAGGTGATGGCCAGCAGGTCGTTGCCTGAGAAGCTGGACATGGTGGTGGGGAAGGCCCCGACCCCGGCCAAGCTAGCCTGGCCGAGCAGAGAAGAAGCGGCGGATGCTGCAGCGGCGGCCGCGGACGGCATCACCTCGGTGGAGTTGGCGTACGGGGAGCCGGTGGGATTGGAGTTGGCGACGGGGCCTGTGATGTTGGAGTAGGAGATGTTGAGGCAGGAGGAGCTCTGTGGGTCCTCCTGGATCTTCTGGACGATGATCTCCACGGCTTTGCGGTTCTGCTCGGGCTCCCCGCTGATGGTGACCACCCGTTCCTGCAGGTTGATGCCCTCGGGTTTCTGGGATAGCTGGACCCACGCCCCGGACTGCTCCATCACCGCTTTCACTGTCGCTCCACCTTTACCGATGATCAGCCCCGCCGTGCTGTTAGGGACGATCAGCTTGGCCTGGGAGGGAGAAGGAAACATGTTTGGTTATTGCTTGAAGGCTATTGATCAGCATATTAAATGAGTCTTCGTGTGTGTGTGTGTATGTGTGTGTGTGTGTGTGTGTGTGTGTGTGTGTGTGTGTGTGTGTGTGTGTGTGTGTGTGTGTGTGTGTGTGTGTGTGTGTGATTTAGCAATGTAATGATGTCGTGAATGATAAATATATGCCTTAGACACATGACATTACAGAGTGTGCACGGCAGTGTGTCCACCACCTGAACACATAACTAGCAAAGAGGTTTTGTTTTTTTTTGAACAGAGGAGAAAGAGAAGAGCAAGTTGGTGAGAGAACAGGTGATGAAGAGGTAGAGAGAAGTACACAGAGTGGGAGGAAAGGATGGACAAGCAGGAGAGAGAGACAGAGAGAGAGAGGGATTCTAAAGAGCCTTGTGTGACTCCCAGGGGTCAGTGTTACCATGGAAACACAGCTCCAGCATTCAAAGGGTAGTGAAAGGGAGAGAGGCGATGACACACACACACCCACACACACACCCACACACACACACACACACACACACACACACACACACACACACACTCCATGTCCTAATACAGTGCAGTATATTCATTTGACATATTTGCATGTACACATTATGCATAATTCTTTCATACAGTACTTTTGTTCGTCCGTCACATTGTGCACTGTATATATATAACATTGCTGTGTTGGTCAATGGATGGATATGAAGCACTTGTTTCTCTTTTATTTATCACTGACTAATATTTCCATTTCTACAATTAATCCCTAGAAAATATTGTCTAAAAATGTCCAAAAAAAAGCCCATATTTGGGAGTGGGAAAGAAACACCCGCTTTTAGACTTTGCAGACCAGTTAGATGCCCTGAGAAACAAGCTACAGGAAAGTGAAAGGTCAGACAAGCATAATAGGTCCTCTTTAAGTTGAAAAACTGAAATATTTTTCAAATGAGCTTAACTCCAATAAACTACAGTTTTGCCCATAAGCAGCCAAATGAAACCCCATGCATCAGACAAGGTAGTATGCAGTACAGGTGTGATGTGGAGTTTTCCTGTTGCTAAGCAGTGAGTGCCCGTCGCTGTGCTGCAGCACCCAGCTCCTGCACATTCAGAGCATCACTCTGCTGAATGGAGTGAGACCAGAGGAAAGTGTAAGACTGTCGATAGCAAAAAAACTTCTGCTGCAACTTATGTTGTTCTGCTCTTCAGTGCAAACAAAATGACGCAAAGTTGTTTCTCACAAACAAGGACACCTGCAAAGTCATTGACTTCGCATTAGCCGCCTCGCACATGAATGTGTGTGTGCTGCAGCATTGATCCCACTCTCTGAGACTCACACTGCATCAGTGGCGGCCGGCCCATAGGGGCGCTAGGGGCGCCGCCCCACCTCTTCCCACATACAAAAAAAAATATAAAAAACATAATTTCAGCCAGCGCCGTCAAATATTTTGGTCACGAGGGCGCTCACGTTGGCGCCCACGTTGCTTACGTGCGTTGACGTGAGTTGTTTTTTAGACTCGTGAGTGACCAAGGTGACGCAGTAATTGGATGAGAATGGCTTTGTGTGCAGGTGGAGTCGCCGGACCTCGGTCCGCACCCAATTCCGTGCAAGAGCTAATCTCCAATCCTTTCGAAAGGAGAAGTTTGGGAGATAAACTGTTGCTTAAAGACCTTGGACCGGACCAACCCGATTTGTATATATTGCAGCAAGCTTGTGAAAAAGACAAAACGTATCAACGAGGCTTCTCACGTAGCTGGTACACCAGAAAGGCATGGCTAGCTGGATGCAAACAGGTAAATGCTGTCTTTTGTTTCCCATGCTTCTTCAAACAGCCGGGGACAGATACGACTGTGACGGGGGTAAACGATATGAAGCATTTGTCAGAAATTTTTTAAAAGCACGAGTGCAGGAAGTTACATATGACAAGTACCTTCAAGCTAGCCATGTTAGGCAAAGCTAACATAGCATAACAACACAGCCGTTAGCTCTTAGCACTCAGAGCTCACAGCTCTTCATATCTGTTCAGAAACTAGACAAAAGTTAAACAAGTACAAACCACAGACTGTCTGTGTCATGGCGAATACAGTCGCTGCTTTATTTATGTCTGTATAGGCCGTTGTTGTGAGTGTGGACGGTCGGAGCATATATAACGTTAGCTTAGCCAAGCTCCATTTAGAAAACACGCATTTTAAAAGGTTTTTCGCCTGCCGTCTGTCTGCAGACTTGTCAAAGCATTAATTCATGGTTTTTACTAACCGGTATCAGTATGTTGTTACTTCGGCATCATTTTGAAACGTGTATTACAATTAAATCACGGTCAAATATGTTCATCTTATTGTAGTTGTAGCCCCCTTGCCAGCGATTCTCTCTCTAGTTTAGCATACTCAGCCCGACTTAGCCTGGTTGTTCCTGGCCCTAGAACCACGATGTTATGGGGCCAGAAAAACTGTGAATTAGGACCCGCTAGCCGGTACTAGGCCAAGTGGAAACGCAACCAAAAACAGGCCCCGCACGGCTCGGCACGCTTAAAGCGAGCTCCGCGCTGCAGTGGAAACGCGCCATTACATCACCAGAAGTCCTAATTTAAGGGGTCACTTCTCCCAAAAAAAATGTTTTTACTCACTATATCAACAGCCCCACCAAAACTATTTTCCACCAGCCGCCACTGCACTGCATGTCTGTCTGAACATCCAATATTCATACTGAGCAGAAAGGGAGAGTAGCGGGAAGAGAGATAAAAAGACATGGCCTTGATGAAGAAAAGAGGAGGAAAAAATAAAAGGGAGGGGGAGCGGGGTGATGAGATGCAAAGTTTATGTTTTGTTGTTACATGCAGAGTGAAATAAAGCGAGAGGAAAGGGAATAAAAGAAAAATCCAAACAGAGAGGGATCAATTCAACGTACAATAGAACATGTGAAGGCCATTCCAATCAAGCTGCCTCCCCCGCCTCACCCCTCCCTCGATCTGTTTGCTGCAGTTTGAAGCAGAACCACCTCTGCGCGGCGATGCAGCGGTTTGCCACGCTGCATTCCACGGCTCCATCTCTGCACCGCGGCTTTCCACCAGATGAATGTACATAGACATTGAAAATGAATAAGAGGCGTGCAGGAGGGAGCGGATAATAGAGCAGCTTCAAACCTGCAGACAGCGTAAACAACTCCCCTCTCTGACTGCAACATTAGAGAATGATCTCTCCCCTGTGAGTGCGAGGCGTCGCTGCGTCGCTCTCTGGGATTAACAGGTGCGCTGTTTACTTCTTCCTTTTCTTCATTCATCTTTGCTCTCTGGCAGTTTGTACTTCAGTGCTTTCTATTGATTAGTGTTGCTACTGTGAGTCTGTTTACGTGCTGCTGCTATCAGACACTCGCTACAATCTGCCGTCCTGTGTAGATTAGTGAGAGGAACAAAGTGCTAGCAAAGTGAACACTGCTGGGGCTGATATACTCCAGTTACCTTTCAGAATGCACAAAATGGCAAATGAAAAGTGACACGGAAAAGAATCCAACTGAAGTTCAAACCAATGTGCACTGCATTACTGACCCCAGATTATGAAACCCTAACACTGGTTCCTATCACGCCGTTGGCTCCGCCGGCTACGAACTCTGTCCTGCCGGGTGTTCTGCCGACACCAGATCCTATTCTGCCGGTGGTCCAGTCGGCCACAAACCCGGTCCGTCCTTGTGCCCGGCTCCCTGACTATGCCCCCCCCCCTCCCAGCTGTGTCTTGTCCTGTGATTACCCTTCTTTGTATTTAGTCTTGTCTTCCCCTTCCCCATGTCGGTTCATTTTCCTGTCTCCCTCCATGTTGGTCACGGTCAGTTTTTGTTTACCGTGCTACCTGTTTATTTCATGTCATGTTTTTTCAGTCATCAGCTTTTTCTAAATAAAGCTCGCCTTTTGTTCCTTGACCTTTTTTTGTCTTTTTTATTCTGCATTTGGGTCCTACCTTTTCCCGAATCCTGACAAACCCTAACTTCATGGAGTTTGGTGCTTGTAATACGTTGGGAATAAATAAAAAATATACGTTTGGTGACTTATAATATTCTCGACAACATCTTAAGAATGACTATCTCCAACAAAAAGTAATTCCATATTACCGGTTTCCTCGTAACATGAAGATCATGTCAATGTTGTTTGTTGACGAAAAATGTTACCAAGTTTTTTTCCCTTCCCCTTGGTTAGTTTCTTTTACATTTCTTCTTTTTATTTATTTTTCTTATTTAGGGACTCACACATTGAGTTTGATACCAAATCAGAAGTTGACATGAATATTAAAAGATAAACCCTAAGCCCCTAACCCTTAACAAACCCCAACCTATAATAACTAATTCAATTAATTAATTTGCAGAGGAATTAATAGCTTAATTATTAAAAATATTATTTATAGTCCCGGTTTAATCTAACCATAAAAGCACCCAGAGCACAAACCTCTACCCAGTACCATTTTTACAAGTTATTTTAAGGACTGAAAATATATTTTGGTGAACATCAGCACCAAAGTACAGATACTGATGTGTTTTGGAAAATAATGAAGTTGTTCCGGGTGTAAAAATAACGCCATTTCATCAGGAGCACTTTTGTAGGAGCTGCAACATTTCAGGATGGATGTGCGGTGGGGGGTAAAAATGGAGACGAGGGATAAAAGGAAATAAGTGTGACAGGCAGCGAGAGAGTGAGGAAGCCCTACCCATGAGCCCTTTCATCCTCTGCACTGCAACATCCTCACACACACATGCATGAGTGTTGGTGGGAGGATAGACGGTGGAGTCTGATCCCTCCTGGCCCTAATGATCACATCATCATCATCATCATCATCATCCTCCTCCTCCTCCTCCTCCTCCTCCTCCTCCTCCTCCTCCTCCTCCTCCTCCTCCGCCCGCTCTGCTTTCTTTCCTCACGTTTCCATATAGTGTTTTTTTTACAGCTCTAAAGAGGTTTTAAACCTCTTCTTTCAAGGTCACACACTCCCACACACACAATCCG